TTGATTTGGAATTTGTGGAATTTGGAATTTGTGGAATTTGGAATTTGTGGAATTTGGAATTTGTGGAATTTGGAATTTGTGGAATTTGGAATTTGTGGAATTTGGAATTTGTGGAATTTGGAATTTGTGGAATTTGGAATTTGTGGAATTTGGAATTTGTGGAATTTGGAATTTGTGGAATTTGGAATTTGTGGAATTTGGAATTTGAAATTTTTGAAATTTTTGGAATTTGGAATTTGTGGAATTTGGGATTTGGAATTTTTGGAATTTGGAATTTTTGAAATTTGGAATTTGGCTTCGCCATTAGGCTCGAAGCTGTCGCTCTTGCGTCTGCGCATGCGGCAAGCATCGCGCTCTGATTGGTCCGCGTTACCCCATCTCCTACTTCATGGACCTACATTAGTTGTGAGACGCCCTGTATACAACTCTTTTATTGTACAATATTATTAATTGCACTGTTTCAATATGTAACGAGTCTTATTCATTGTAGAAAATAGAAAATGTTAGCATCTAATTAAATAAATATCTACTGACAGAACTAATGTAACTTTTCGACAAATCTAGTAACAAAGATTCTCAATAGAAATATATTAAACTTAATTTTACTTAATACTGTAACTTTAACTTTTCACTAAAACTACATTTTAAGATTAATATAATTTAAAGTCAAATTAAAATTGCTATTAATTTTCAAATTACAATTAGCATTCGACAAAATAATTAAAAATGAGTAAAAAATTCGAAGCCAAAATATAATTCTTTTTTTTAATACAATTGACAATTCTGTCGATATTTTAACAAATATAATTGTATCTACATTAATTTCTTTTAAGTATTTCATACAATGCAAGATCATACAATGCAATATTATAAAATTATTGTAACGTTTGTATTAATGAAAAGTTTAAAAAATGAAATGTTTGAGTTTAAAAAAATAGAAGGTACCGCAGAAAATTTTTTTATTTCAAGTTACACCAGTGAGGAAAGTAAACCGAAGAGTAATAAATATGCAAACGAAACTAGTATAAAATTGATTTTGCATTTTAGCGGTTTATGGATCGCCTGGGGTTAAAGTTTTCGTTCATTTAAAACTCTTCTCGCTTCCTGTTATCATTTTTTTACTTTCCTTTTATAGATGTTGTATTATTACTTCTTTTACGAGCACGTGTAACCGTAAATTGTAGAAAGAAAGGATCAATATTGAGACGAATGTAACGAAATGTTATTATATTGTATTTCGAACACGTAAGCAATCGGCTGCAGTCATAATATTGTTGTAAAAGATTGTACAGACTTTTCGCTGTTTTTGCTTTTTGTTGGAAATAATTGAAAACCTTACGTCAGGTTTCACCAGGTGGCTCACGAGGAATCGATAAGTTTACTGTATTGGTGGTGTATGGTTCTTCAAATTTAATTTCTCAATTACGAAGTTGCAAAGTTTCCGAATTCCCAAATTTTCTGGGATGCAGAGCTTTAAATTTCTGAATTTCTGAATTCCTAAATTTCTAAATTTCTATCTTGCCAAATTTCTTAATTTTGAAATTCTAAAATATCAAATTTTCTTAACTTTTAAATTTCCAAATTTTTAACTTTCTAAATTTCATCATTCTTTAATTTCAAAATTCTCAAATTCCCAAATCTTCAAACCCCCAAATCCCTAAACTCCCAAGTTCCCAAACTCCCAAATCCACAAGTCCCCAAACTCCCTAATCCACAAATCCCAGAATTTCCAAATTCATCCACTGCGAAATTTCCAAATTTCCAAATCTCTAAATCCCTGAATTCTTAAATCCACAAATACCTAAGTCCCCAAATTCTCCAATCCCCAAATCCTTAAATTTCTTAATTCTCAAAATTTCCAAAATCCTCAAATCTCCAAATTGCCACTTTCCAAATTACCGACATTCCAAATTTCTAAATTTGCAAATATATTTTGCTCAAAAATCTAATAAGAGTCTGTGTTACCATAATATTTGTACTATTATATGACTGCAGCCGAAGGAAGCATAAGTTTGATCCAATAATTATTATAGTGCTTCATATTAACATATTTTTTACGCATGAATTGTAATGCCCTCTTCATTTATTTCTCCGTCACACCTAATGACTAAAACATGAAACATGAGCATGATCAGGGACCAACGTCCACAAGGGTGGCTCTACCCCTGTAGGATCTGGCCTACATTATTCGTTACCCTTATCACCCTTCTATCATCTCCGCTGTCCATATCCTCACTTATCGACCATGAAACTTTCGAACCTATACCATTTGTAGCAACAACGTCCAAAAAAAGCGACTTCATTTGATATTCAGCATCTATTCCGACATCCAAAGGGATTAGACCTTTTCTCAAGTAACCCACTCCCCTTTAGAGTATCGATATCGTATACTGGAATAACACTATCCGATACTGTATTCTATAATAACGGTACATCATATTGTATACCATAATAACAGCCTACAATATTGTACACCACATAACAATACATGATATCATATAGCATTATAACAGTACACAATAACATATATCATTTAACAGTACATGATATCGTACAGCATAATAACAGCCTACAATATCGTACACCACATAATAATACATGATATTGTACAACATAATAACAGTACACAATATCATATATCATTTAACAATACATGATATGGTGCAGCATAATAACAATACACATAATCGTATATCATTTAACAATACATGATATGGTGCAGCATAATAACAATACACATAATCGTATACCATATAGCAGTACATGATATCGTGTAGCATAATAACAGTACATAATAACATATATCATTTAACAGTACATGATATTGTATAGCATAATAACAGTACACAATATCGTATACCATATAGCAGTACATGATATCGTGTAGCATAATAATAGTACACAATAACATATATCATTTAACAGTACATGATATGGTGCAGCATAATAACAGTACACAATATCATATATAATTTAACAGTACATGATATTGTATATCATAATGACAGTACACAATATCATATATCATTTAGTACACGATATCGAATACCATGAAACCAATACATGATACCATATACCATAATAACAGTGCACGATATCACATACCATGTAACAGTATACGGTATCATATGTCATAATAACAGTACACAGTATCATATATCATTTAACAGTACATGATATCGTATACCATGTAACAGTACTTGATATCGTATGTCATAATAACTGTACACGATATCGTATACCATGACAACAATACATGATACCATATACCATAATAACAATGCACGATATCACATATCATATAACAGTATACGGTATCGTATATCATAATAACACTACACGATACCATATACTATAACAACAGTATCCAGTATCATATATCATAATAACAAAACTCGATATCGTATGTCATACGAATAGTACACGATATCGTATACCATAATATAGTACCGAATACCATATACCGTAATAACAAAACCCAGTACCATATACTGTAATAACAGTATCCGATATCATATGCCGTAATAATAGTACCCAATACCATATGCCGTAATAGCAGTATCTGACACCGTATACTACAGTAACAGTACTCGCTTCTATATGTGATACTACAACCGATATATGGTTTCGATATCATATGCCGTAAAACAGTACCCGATATCGTGTACTACAGTAACAGTATTCAATTCCACACACGACACCATAACCGATATATGGTACCGATACCATATGTCCTATAACAGTATCCAATACCATATACCATGAAAACAGTACCCCAAGTCATATACCATAATAACCTACCGATACCATATGTCCTATAACAGTATCCAATACCACATACCATGAAAACAGTACCCCAAGTCATATACCATAATAACCTACCGATACCATATGCTATAATAACCTACCCTGACTATACCTTGATTATACTACTAATAACAGTGCCTAATATATACCATACTAACAGTACCCGAAACGAAAACCCCAGCTATATATCCTGATCCCTATTTAAAAGATCCTAAAATGTTAACCACTAAGAGAACTTACCTGTTTTCGTAGCGAACGAAACGTCCTTAGGATGATTGGTCTTGATAGCGTTCATCCGTCTATTCTGAGGTCCCTGGCCGCCGGTGCATCCGACTCCCGGCGTCTGTCCGTGTCCAGGAGCTAGAGCACCGGTACCGGATGTCGGTCCACCCGACTGCATATGCTGTTGGGTGCATCCCGGTGGTCCTCCGGCACCAGGGACTCCGGTCATTCCCAGCGGCGCACCTGGAGCTCTGACTCTCGGCTGCTCGACCGGAAGTACCCGGCGTCTCTTCTTGGGTAGTTTGGCTCGCGCCTGCGTGTGACTGTAATACATCGCAAAGTTGCTGACGATCACGGGCACGGGCAGGGCGATCGTGAGGACACCGGCCAGGGCGCAGAGGGCGCCGACGAACATCCCGACATAGGTCTTCGGCACCATGTCCCCGTAACCGACGGTGGTCATCGTGACCAGGGCCCACCATAGCCCCAGTGGTATGCTCTGGAAATCGTTCTTCGGATTGTACTGCGTACGTTCCGCGTAATATACCAGACTGGCGAAGATCACGATGCCGAGGACCAGGAAGAAGACGAGGAGGGCCAGCTCCTTCGCCGAGGCGCGGAACGTTTGTATCAGGATCTTCAGGCCGGACGAGTGACGGGTTAACTTGAACAGTCTCATGATACGTATGATGCTCAAGAACTCGAGGATATCGGCGTTCTCGAGGTGGGAGGCGAAACGCTGTAGCGCCAGATCGAGGTAGAAACTTAGGGTCGCGACCATGTCGATCAAGTTCACCGAGCTCTTGATGAACTCGCAGCGATTCGGGCTCGCGGTTATCCGTATTAGGAACTCGAGGGTAAACCAGGCGTTGCACATACACTCGATGTAGAAAAAGCAGACGTGAGCGTTCGTGTGCGTTTTGTCCACCGCCCAGGAGGTCTCGTTTCCCATGTTCACCGAACGGTTCACGATTACCGGCACCCGCATGTCCGGATGCGTCTTCAGGCAGAACGACATGATCGAGATGAAAATGAACAGGACCGAGACTATACTGATCACCTATGGAACAGGCCAAAGTCAATTAATCATCCCTTCGTCTTCCGCCACGAGATGAGCCGTGAAGCATGTTCTGAGATACTATCCTTGTTTATTGATCTGACATGACGTCGCTCTAATTGCTCGTATCAAAAATCTACATTAAAAATTTTTTACCAACTGTAATATATTGCATATTTTTTTTATATACGTCAATGACTCATCTTGTGACGGGCAAACTGTAAATTGTGCAATATTGAATTAGTGAGTCTTGTAAATTTTCATATACTGAAAAATTTAATATTGATAAAAATATCCTCAACTTCAAGTTGGAAGCTTTATCTTTCTTCAGAATTGAATTTCTCGAAAATTATGGTAAAGAAAAATAAGTTAGGTTTAAATTGCAAGTTCGTAATTAGTATATGAAAATTTATAAGGTTACTCAAACTTACATTAGACAAAAAGTTTCTTCAAAATTATTAATAGTATCTTACAAAAATATGTGCTTTTATAAATATTATTTCAAACACTACGCTGGCTTAAGACAGTGATAATTTAATTGATTAACACAATTAATTAAAGAAACACATTTGCTATCGAATATCGATATTCTCAGGGTTTTAACTTCAATATCTGCACGTGTTCAGATAATGAAACCTTATTCAGTAAAATAAAACTGCAGAGAAATGTGTTCAATATAAAAATTGTAATACAAATTGAATCGTGATAATGGGGTCGTAAAAAGGGTATTACAAGTGCCTTTCAATTTTAAAACAGTATTTAATGAAGACGACATAATGAAGCTAATTAACTGCTAAAAGGTTATTGAAGTCAAACAAAACTTACAGCGAGTTTTAAAAAGTACAGTTGCTGCTTTGTAATTGTGGCTTCGTTTTCAATATGAGTGATTAAAAATTGTATTTATTATGATCAACCTTTGGAATTAAGGAAGGAGTTCTGAATATGTCAGACTGAGGTATTAATTGGTTCGTTAGGAAGCTTGCCAATTTTTGAGTAGATTGAATTAATTGGAATGACGTTAGATCTGGAGGGTAAATAGATCTTTGCCTATTTTTAGAAATTCTTGTAATTAAAAATCTTGTAATTTAAAATTTTGAAATTTCAAATCCTGTAACTTAAATCTTGTAATTTAAAATCTTGAAATTTCAAATCCTGTAACTTAAATCTTGTAATTTAAAGTATTTAAAATATTTAAAATATTTCTGAAATTGGTTTAGAAGGATATTAACAATTGACTAAAAAATAACAATTGGCAATTGAGAATTTTTCAGTCACATCATTCAAGTTTTATAATCCTAATTCCATCGTGAAGTGAAACAAAATGACATACTTTTCCAACACTATTTGTAAATAAATTTTTGTAGTCTTTCTGTACATATCAAGCTTGAGAAAGAAGATTTTATTGTTATTACAGAAGAAAATTACCTCTGAGACTACAAAGACGCTTGTGTACAAGACAAATATGGCGTACACTGAACAAATATAGAGAACACCTGAAACTTTAACTTGAGTTGACACAGAAAATTATATAGAGAAAACTTCTAAATAACGATTAGATATCATATACTACTGCTGGAAACTCTTTTACTTCCTTTACTATTATAAATAAGTAGTACCAATATTTATTTATGGTTTCAAAATAAATATAAGTATAAAAGTGTCCACCATTTTCATTAGTTCACGCTCTGACCGTCAGCGTCGCACATAAATCTCATATTCTGAATAATGACGATAGCGAGAGCGCGAAATTTAAAAATATAGAGTCCATCTAACAGAATTTTCCAACAAATAATTGCAAAGTTAGAAACCAAATCCTTCAAAAATACTGCAAGAGACTCAGACAAACTGCAGTTTTAAAAACCTAATTCGTTATGCAGCACACAAGTTATAAGTAATGTGAATAAGTCGCAAAATCTCATAGAGAATAATGTTGGATCATAAAACTAGAATTATCAAGGGATTTATCGACATTGGACAAACGATCCCAAAGAAATCCTCTTACCGTGGTTTCGCCGACGTTTTCTCTCTTGGAAACAACTTTAAAAGTTATGTGATGCTACGTGATCACCTGATTTTATCTTTAACGATTGATTTTCCTCGAAAAGTAGGTTCCGACCTTTTTTTTCTGTTACTTTTAACGTGAACGAGAATTTACGAGCGTAAGTGCTTGTTCCTCTCGTTTTTGTTTTTATTAACTGCTTTTATGGCGGAATTAGGTGATGATGAAGATATTGGTGTGTAGATAAGACGTTGAGTTGTGTGCGTGTAGCTGTGGAGGGTGGTGGCATGATTGTGAGGGCGCGAAATTTAAAAATTTGGAAGTTGAGAATTGTTGTGTTACGAAATTTTCAAATTTCTGAATTTTTAGATTTGTGGATTTTGAAATTTTTAAAGATTTTTAAGATTCTCGAGTTTCCAAATTCTCAAGTTTCCAACTTCTCAAATTCCCAACTTCTTAAATTCCCAAATTCTCAAGTTTCCAAATTCTCAAGTTTCCAAATTCTCAAGTTTCCAACTTCTCAAATTCCCAACTTCTCAAATTTCCAACTTCTCAAATTCCCAACTTTTCAAATTCCCAAATTCTCAAATTCCCAACTTCTCAAATTCCCAACTTCCCAAATCCCCAACTTCTCAAATTCCCAAATTCTCAAATTCCCCACTTCTCAAATTCCCAACTTCTCAAGTTCCCAAAGTCCCAAATCCCCAACTTCTCAAATTCCC